GATGACAAATCAAGATGGCTGCAGCAGCTGATTGACTGTAGATTTGGCGCTAAAATTTGGTGTGGTAGTTGAGTCAATGCCGAGACATCCTCTGAACACTAACTGAGCAGAACTTTGATTAGAACTTTAACGATATCTTTTCTTCTAAAGGCAGAAAAAAGTAATTTTTTTAATGTAATTCCCAATGTTTAACTTTGTCACCACCGATCGCCATATGTTCTTTGTATGTGTGAAAGAGAGAAAGAAAACGTGCAAGGGAGGATAATAAAATTACACATTCTATAATCGTTGATCCTTAAGTGAGTGGTATTGTTTCCATGGAAACCATTGAGCTTTCTTTTTGAGACGCTGGTTGAAAAGATCACTTCACAAGGTTACTGATTGTCTTTTCTGTAAAACCAGCGAGCGCAAGCTGATCTCTAAGGTTTGGACACGGAAATATATTTCTCTCTATGTGCAGCACAATAAACCTCTGACAGGAGAAATGATGTTTTAATAAAACGCTGAATACTTTTTTATGTTTCTTTTGGGTTCAAGCTTTTAATGCGAGTGTCAGAGGAGTCTTATTTACAAACCCTTCTTCTACACGCTCCTTTTTTGTGTCGGCGACAAAAGTGAAGTTCAAACCGTCCATCTGTCCATCATTCAAGGAGAACACAAGACGTCCCTCCATCCAGTGACACACTCCAGTTAGTTATAAGATAAGATAGTGGTGTTTACCGGCCAAAGAGGATTTATAATCCCTCCCATAAGTTCTGGGTTTCCTCCCAGAATGACATGCCTGAAACACCACCACATAGAATCCTGATCAAATGCCTGAAGTGCCTGAGCTCAGTCCTTTTGATTTCCCCAGGATGATAGATCTTCTCGCCCTCTCTCTAATGCTAAGCTCAGATGTGCAACAGAAAAGGGTCAGCCTCTTGTATCCTGGATCTTGTTTTAAATCATCCATGGTCTCATGACCATAGGGGCAAGCGTTGGAGTGTAGACAAAGTTTATCAAGAGCTTCACGTTTTGGCTCGACTCTTTTGTCCAGACAGTTCTAAAATTATGTCCACGTTACTGCAGAGGAAGCTCTGATCCAGCAGTCCATCCCTCGCTCCATCGTCATCCATGAACAAGATCTTAAGATACTTGCACTCTTCCACTTGAAGCCGAGGTTCATCCCCAAACTGAACGGAGGATTCCACCCATTTCTGATCGAGATTCATGGCCACAGACCTGAAGGAGCCGACACCCATTGCAGTTGCTTAACAGTCGCTGCAACCTTTGCCCCAACCTGTTCTTCTTGAATCCTTGCCCATGACCCCCAAAAGGATCAGAGACGAGGCAAACTCTGCCATCAAAAATGAACTTAGCCCTGTTCCAAGAATCTGGACACAGCTCTTGTTTTTGTTGGAGGATATCTGTTGTACATGTCATCCATCTTTGTTGTGAACCTTACCACCGGTTTCATGCTGCAAAGACTGTGATCAAACATGACAAGCCATTTTCTTTTGTTTTGTTTTCCACCAAGGAGTGCAATAAGAAATTTAAACCAAAAAGATGATCATTTGGAACCAAAAGACAAAGAAACATTGGTTTTTATTTTTATATGTGCAGATTTCTATTTGCCTTTTGTGTCTGAGACCCAGCTCAGTCCAATACGAGTTCAAAGGTCAACTGCTTCAAAAGCCTTCTTGTAGAAGTGTCCAACTACAGTTTTTGAAAAGCAAAAAGCTTTATATGCTTTGTGAAGTTTTTTTTTTTCCTCTAAACCATTTGTGGTTTCTGTCCATTTTTGTCTTTGCAGATTTAGAGACTTTGTGAAACAGAATGGCTCATCGGGAACAGAGAATTATCTCCTCTTCCAGATATTCATTATGCTCTCAGTTAATTTGCTGCAGGCGCCCTGACAGAACAGCCCAACCGTATCACTGTTAACCAGAGTGAAACAAAAGAATCAGAATATCGGTGAGATGTCAGCCACTGTACAACCGTTCACTTCCATAATTGGAATTACAGATGGGTCAAAAGTCAATCCAATTTTAATTGTCTAAAAATCGACAAACTAAGCCCATAATTTCTGTTTTTCTAAACCGAACTGGCACGGTAACCACACAGTAATCAGGCTTTGAGACAGAGAGGACAAACGATGAAAACGAACCCTCAACCCGAGTCCCACAGGACGGGCTGTCTGCTGCCTGTACCTGCCGTTGCACATCAGTGTGTGATTATTTGTGAGTGTGCTTGTGATGAAAGGCTCTTCCACTGCAGTCCATAGTGACCCAGGGGGACGTATAGATGCCGTGCAGTTCGCTGTTCTCAGGGTTGATCTGTGTTGGGATGAATCCAATTTTATTCCTTTTCTCAAACATTTTTGCGCCGTTTTCTCCTGCCTGTTAATCAGCCGTCCCACCCTTTCTCCTTAATATTTGTCCTTCTTTCCCCCAATTACTAACACATGAATACTGAAGGCATCTTCTATCATAATGAAAGCATGTTTTCAAACTGAGAGAATTCACCATTTTTGATCTCAAGATCTCTGCAGCTCATTTTTAGACTGCATCCTTCACTCTGCACTTATTTAAAATAAACAAATTAACTTATTTTCATTTATTTATTTATTTCTTCTCAACTCCCCTTTATGCCTTTCTGATCTTGCCTAAATACGAACAATGTAATTTTGGGGGGAGCAGTCACTCATTCAAACCTGGGTTGAAATCTACAACTGATTTATTTTCTAGTTAACTTGATTTAAAATGGCTGCCACAGAAAAGCCACTTTGCCAACAACAAAATGGCTTTAAACAGTCAATTTTACAGATATGAGTGACATGAGTGCGTCATAGCATGAGATTGCCTATAAGGACTATAACTCAAGATGAGACGATCTTGGCTTAAAAAAAATACTAGCATTTATTTAAGAATGCTAGGCTTTTAGTTGGAGTGTTTTTTTGCTGAAACTTATACTGAATAGTCCACAATATCATCCATTTTACTTTAAGTGAATCATTTGTCTTTAGTACATTTACTTCTCTTTGTATTTTCTCAAACACCAAAAAGATGATCAGATATAGATATGATAAATAAAAAAGAACCGGCTTTGTGTGCATTCATTTGTCTCACTGCGAGAGACTTCCTGCTTCGATTTGTTTGAGCAGGGATTAAAGGGATTACAAGTAAGGATCTGTAGGACCAGACTGGAGTGCACCACATAGTATCAGTTAACAAAGCTTAATCGACTCTTGGCAACCTGTGGCTCAATAATGTCTGCACGTGCTGCCTCATATCAACGTCTGCGTGCAAAAAGCAGAGCACAGATCAGCTCATTCAAAAATTAACCGTGAAGTTGGAAATATTTTTCAGCTGCTCTGAAACAGGATCGATCTTTGCTTTATTTTGGTTACTTTTCCACCAAAAGTCTTTATTTTCAATCCAACTTTATCTTGTTGAAAGATGCTATACAATACAATAGGCCACAATACGATATAACAATGCAATCACAATATGATACTAATTGTCCTTTTTTTTGGCATTCCCTTTTCAGGGGTTGCCATTGCGAGTCATCCTCATCCATCTCGCTCTGCATCCTCTATCCTCAATCCAACTACTAACAACTAACATGTTTCCCAAAACAGCACGATATGACACATCACAATATGCTACAATGTGATATGATACAATCTCCTATTATACAATGCGATACAACTCAAAATGTTACAATACAATACAAGTTACAGTGTGATACGATTAAACATAAAATATTACAATATAATACAATACGATATGTAACAGTGCAATACTGTACGATATAATACAATATCATGCTTAGGAGTGATGTGCCGCCTTAAGCGAATGGGTTTAAGATGGATTGGTGCAGCTTCCAAAGTATTGCGTACTCTGTTCCGGTCCATTGTGGTGAAGAGGGAGCTGAGCTGCAAGGAGAAGCTCTTGTTTACTGGCCTATCTATGTTCCTATCCTCACCTATGGTCATAAACTCTGGGTAGTGACCAGAAGAATAGTGCAGATACTAGCTGTAAACATTAGTTTTCTCTGCAGGGTAGATGTTCTCTCCCTTAGAGATAGAGTGAGAAGTTCAGTTATTCGTGAAAGACTTGTAAGTAGAGATGCTACTCCTCCACATCGAGATGAGCCATTGAGGTGTTTCAGACAACCCTAGGGAGGCGTTCTGGCTATGTCCAACTGGGAGGAGACCCGGGGAAGACCCAGGACACTCTTGAGAGACTATGTCCCTGGGAACGCCTTGGAGTTCTCCTGGAAGTGGAGAGATGTCCTGAACCTCCCTCCTCAAACTGCTGCCCGCACAAGCAGCAGATGATGGGTGGGATACGATACAGTGCTGTACAAATTATTATTTCCATGTAGAAATGTGTTTTTGATTTGTTTTAAAGGTGAGTTTATTTTGAGTCCAGACATCAGTGTGTAATTTACAGGTCTCACAAGAGAAAAAGTTAAAAAAAGAAAGAGTAGCTGAGTCGACAGCTGAGTCTGACCACCTCAGGGCACATTTTTACTGCTCACACTGTTTGACTGGCAGGGCAGGACCATCTCTGTAGGAGTCAAAGGAATGCAGCAGAGCCGGTGGATGGTTTAATGTTCCTTCATTAGGAAGGACTTCATGGTAACGTGGGAGAACATAATCAGTCTAATCAGGCTCACTGAGAAGGGCATCAAAGTAACTGAAAAGAAAAAAAAATGTGAGTTTGCGACTCTGTCTGATGTGAGGCATTAATAAAAGAAGCAGCCGGTCCTTATCCTCCAGGGAAACCTACATGCTTAAATGTCTGAGTTACTCTACATTCAATGCTTTGAAACGGCTGCTTATATCACGAGGTTGCGCTTTCAGAAGATTATCATATTTGATCGTATGCTTTGATTTTGTTAAATAAAATGGTTTCACGCAAGACCTTTCAGTTCCACACATTCCAGGTGGAATCATCATGCGTTAGTTGTAACTCTAAAGTACAAGCCCTAAAAAACAAAACTCCGCCCCTTACCTCCCCCGCTGTCCTTCTCCTCTTCCTCTATGCTGTTTTTGATGCTGTCGTACTCCTCGTCGATGTTCTGGTTGCCTCGGATCTGGCTGAGTACACGGCGGGCCTTCTGGGTGAGCCCACGCTGTATTAGCCAGCGGGGGCTCTCCGGCAGGAAGAGGAATCCCAAGAACTGGAGCATAGCGGGAAGCACGGACAGACCCAACATGTACCTGGAGGAGGAGGGGACACATGCATTGAGACAGAACCTATTTTTCTAAAAAGTCCACTTTTGTATTAATGTTTATTTTGAAACAACGGTAGAAAAGTCAGGGCTCCGTAACGTTTCATCTGATCTGAGGTCGTATCCTCAGGACCCCAGCCCACCAAGAGGGACAGGAGATAGAGATGGCGACTACTTCCACTGCCAAGGACAACCACTAGAGGCTCAGGGCGAGCAAATGTAACCAGCCAGAACCCCAGGATGGTGCTGAGGCTCGCCCCCAACCAAACCTCTGCCCTCAGGCCTATATCCTTTGGCTTAAAACTGTAGATAAGAGTTTCTTCCCATCATCCTCTCCTAACTTGTTAGAACATTACCATTCCTGTCTTTAAAAAGCCAAACTTGCTGCACGTCCTTTCCAGCCTGATCCCTCTGTCTCGCCAATCAGTACAAATCCTTTTTGCCCTCTTCAATGTCCAGCCTCCCGTACAACTCATCATACTCATTTGCTCCCTTCCTCTTTGCTCTACGTTGCATTTCCTACATTGTCTGTTTAAAACAGGTCTCTTTTGTAAACGAGTCCTTGTGACTCATTGAGACTCACCTGTATAAAGGTTGAATGAAAATGAGCAAACCTGTAGGTAAAAGCTAAAATTAGAAACTCATAGTTAAAAACTAAATATCATTAAACTGTAGCTATAATCTAAAGAAAGCTAAAAGTTTAATTAAGCAAAACTCTAGCTAAAATGTACAATTTTGCCAAACAGTAGCCAAATGCTGTGTAGCAAAATGTAGCTAAAAGCTAAATGTAGAAAAATTTGTATCTCAAAGCTGAATGTCATAAAACATTTGCTAACTCCTAATTTTAGCAAAACTGTATCATAAAGTTTAAATTGCTTAACTGAATGCTCAAGTTAGCAAAACATTTAGCTGGAAGCTTAAACTAGCAAAGCAGTAGCCAGATATTAAATGTAGCATAACTGTAGCTAAAAGTAGCGCAAAAAGCCAAAACACACAAAATAGAGCTAGAATTCAGAGGCAGCTTTAAAAAATGTTTTAAAAAAAGTGTTTCTTTATTTAAAATGGTCATTTAAATTAAAGAAAAGTTAAATAATTCAAAAATGTAGAAGTTAAAAATGATAAACGTCAAAGCACAGTATTCATGGTCGAGCCGAACGTTTTCATAAATGGATGATTTTTTTTTTTAAACGCACAACGCAAGTTTGAGAAACGATACATAAAAACAGTGCAGACGCTGACTCAGCAACCATGAATAAATGACGACTCAGCATTACCACAACAGCTGGTCTGAGCCTGAAATGTACAACGATACAAGTAACGCCTCTGACTGACCTCCATCCACCTCGATGCATGTAGCTGAAGGCGCCGTCGATGAGGCTGGCGGTGAACTGTCCCCCCGTGATGAAGAGCGTGTTCACGGTCACCAGCTGACCCCTGAGGTGCGGCGGCGACGCCTCGGCGATGTACACCGGAACCGTCATGGAAGCCACACCTGGACAGTTGGACAAAGCAAAGTCTTAGCTAAAGCAAAAATGGCTGGAGCAATCAGTTTTACAGGATTCAAGATAAAACTTGGTGTGGTAGTAGCCGAGGCTGATCCCGAACTTGGACTCTGAGCGCTAACAGATTGTTAAAACAGCAGCGGGCGATACGCACTCCTTCAAGGAATACAAAGCCTTTGATTACATCAGTGTCTTATGATTAATAAACTACATTTTTTAATTTTTCCAACAACAAAAACGTAAAACGTTAAACATCTGTGTGCGTTAACTGAACAAAATGTTTTGTTTAATCCAATTAAATTAAATTCTGTGACTACTATGGTAGAATAAATCAGGTTATTTAGTAATATCACATTTAGTAAATTTGCTCTATTTTGATTCCAAAAGAGAAGAATTTGTTATAATAGTTTTTTTTTTTTTATTATTATTATTATCATTATTCTAGTACACAGAAATGTTTAAATATGATTATTGTAGCAATAAATGTAATAAATGTTATTATTTGTGATTTTTATATGATGTTTAAAGTAGATGTCAGGTGCAAAACAGGAAATTAAAAATAATAAAAAATCAGTTTTAATATTTTTGTTTTGGCCATTTTATTATTTTTTTAATCTATTTCGATATTTCTGTTTGGACCATTAAAATAAGATAAAATAAAAAAAAACATATTAGAATTTAAAATCGCATCCAAAAACATTTTGAAATGAACTCAACTTAAAAACTCAATGGCACACACACACGCATTCACATGCACACTCGTGTGACACGGTGTGTGTGTGTGTGTATGCACGTGTGTGATGAGGTGTCACAGACAGACACTTTGCACATCTGGCTCCTCATTGGCTCTATTAATAGAAAGCCGCCACGCTTGGCGCCCCTCCACCTCCTGCCAACACCCCGCCCTGAACCGCCGCCATGACAACATGGCTACCTGTTGCCATGGAGACCACTCGCAGGGAGACCAGTTTCTCTCTGTCTCCAAGCGAGTACCACAGTGTGGCAGCTCTGGGAAGGCAAGTCGATAACCGAGAAGGGGAGGGGGTCATTCACACATTTATGTATTTTTATTTATTTATTTGGTTTTTTCCCAGAAGAGGAAGAAGAAGCGACATCATCTCAAAGCTGTTACAAATATTGTCATGCACATGAAAAAAATCAAACTCTGCCGCGTCGTGGTTAAGTTTCTGCTGCTACACAATAAGACCATAAAAATGGTGAAGGAATGCATATCACCCGCCACATCACGCTCAGAGCACGTGTTGTGTACAACTCTCAGCTACTACCACGCCAAATTTTAGCTCAACACCTGCAGAATTATCTGAGTTAAAGCCATTTAAGTGTTCACTATAGTTTTCTATTTGTGGCAGCCATCTTGGATCAGGTTTCGTGTAGCTGCACATCTGTTGATTAAATCCTGAGAGATGCAGGAAAGATTGTGCTAACAGACATGAGCAAAAACATAATTAAATAATGTTTTCCCTCCATATTTTGATGTTTATCTACAAAACTTCAGCCTTGAATCACCTGCGTCTTTATCTAAACCCGGCCCGCTGCTACAGAGTCCGGCTAACATTAATGCTAACATCAGCGACCAATAAAAAATAATCTATTTTTGATCATTTCACATCAGCTTATTGGCATTTTGAAATACAGTGTTCCTGGCTCAAACTCTCAAACTTTGTTTAGTTTAAGAAAAGGCTAACATTGTTCTGATGTGAAAAGTGTGATGTGTGACGTTTAGGTGACTCAAGATTATAAAAGTGCATATGTCAACAAGATACTTTAATTATTTATTTTTTTAATGCAGTGGAAATGATGAACGTTAAAGGACTTTTTCTGAAATATGTCGAAGAAAAGAAGCTAAAATTAGTAAAGCAATAGCTAATGCTAAAAGTAGTAAATCTGTAACTAGCCAACAGTGAAAAAGACAAAGCCTCGTTCAAAGCTACATACTGTATGGACAAACTGCAAGTCAAAGCTAAATGTAGCTAAATATCCGCTAAATTTAAAATGTGCAAAAGCATAGCAAAAAGCAAAATTAGCACACAAAAAAGCTAATGCTAAAAGTAGCTAAATCATAACCAAAACATTAGCTCTAAGCTAAATGTAGCAACATTTTAGCTAATAGTTAAAAAGGTAAAACAGCAGCTAAAATTAGCAAAACCATAGCTAATGCTAAAAGTATCAAATCTGTATCTAACTAATAGTAAATATATTTATATTGCTCAAAGCTACATATGGACAAACTAAGCCGGAGGTAAATGTAGCAAAAATATTGGCTAAATTTAAAAGTAGCATAACCATAGGAAAAAGCAAAATTAACACAAAAAAGCTAATGCTAAAAGTAGCAAAACTACAACCAAAACCTTAGTTCAAAGCTAAATGTAGCAAAACATTAGCTTATAGTTAAAAAGGTAAAACAGTAGCTAAATTCTAAAATTAGCAAAACAAGAGCTAATGCTAAAAGTTGCTAATCCCTAGTTAACAATTAAAAGTAACAAAACATTTGCTTAAAGCTCATTATAACAAAAGTGTAACTCAAAGCTAACTGTAGCAAAACTTCAGCTTAAAGTTCGATCAGCAGAACTATTGCTAAATGCCAAAAAATTACCTAAACAATAGCTGCAAGTTGAAATAAGCAAAATTGTATCTGAATACTAAAAGTAGCAAAACATTAACTGTAACACTAAAATTTGCAAACAGTAGACAACTTTTAAATAAGAAAACTTGTAGCTAAAAGCTAAAAGTGGCAGAATAGTAGCTGAAAGATTTGACCAAACAACTACAACTTTATGACCCTAGTCTAAGTGGTGGATTATATGTATTCCTTTAATGAATGTTTACTTTGTTTTTGTTTGTTCTGGTAATTCATGCAAACATTTACAGTAAGAACAGCTGAACAGTAAAAACAAGAAGCAATAGATTTCTGTTCACCTTGAATATAAAAAGCAACCAGATTATATTGGGATTACAGAAACAGCTCTAAAATGGTTTAAATCATACCCATCTGATATATTCCAGTTTGTAAATGTAAATAATACATCTTTATACACCAAATTTAGTCATGGAGTTCCTCAGGGCTCAGTGCTTGGGCCAATACTCTTTACTTTATATATGCTTCCATTAGGTAAAGTTATTAAACAGCATGAGATACATTTTCATTGTTATGCTGATGATACACAATTATATTTGTCCATTAAATCCAATGAATCCAATCAGCTACTTAGACTACAAGCATGTCTTAAAGACATAAAAACCTGGATGACTCTTAATTTTCTCCTTTTGAACACAGCCAAGACTGAGGTTTTGGTTTTTGGACCTGAGCACCTTAAAAATGAATTGTTCAGTCTTTCTCCCTCCTTAGATGGCATTAATCTGTCCTCCAACTCTAATGTTCAAAAGCTTGATGTTATTTTTGATCAGGACATGTATTTTATTCCCCATGTTAAAAACGTTACTAGAACCACCTTCTTCCATCTGAGTAATATCACTAAAATTAGAAACATCTTATCTAAAAATGATGCAGAAAAATTGGTCCATGCATATGTCAAGTCTAGACTGGACTATTGCAATGGTTTATTATCTGGGTGTCCAAATACTTCTTTAAAAAGTCTTCAGTTGATCCAAAATGCTGCTGCCAGAGTCTTAACTGGAGTTAGTGGGAGAGATCATATTTCTCCAGTTTTAGCTTCTCTCCACTGGCTCCCTGTCAAATCCAGAATATAATTCAAATTCTTACTTCTAACCTACAAAGCTCTCAACAACCTAGCGCCATCTTATATTACAGATTTTATTGTTCCATATTTTCCTAACAGAGCACTTCGCTCTCAGGCTGCAGGTTTACTTGTGGTTCCTAGAATTTATAAAAACAGAATGGGAGGCAGATCTTTCAGTTATCAGGCTCCTCTCTTGTGGAACCAACTTCCAATCTCTATCCGTGAGGCTGATACATTGTCCAGTTTTAAAACTAGGCTTAAGACATTCCTTTTTGCTAAATCCTATAGTTAGGGTCAGCTTGGGTTTCCTGAGCTGTCCCTTAGTTATGCTGCTATAGGCTTAGACTGCTGGAGGACAAACTGACCACAATTTTCACTCTGCTACTGTCTTTACTTACTCTGCTCAACCTGTTTTGTATTTGTAATTATTTTTTCTATCCTTAACATGTGTTATTTTGTCTTTCAGATACACCTGGACCTACACCTGGACCTACCATTCTGTGTTCGTCTCTCTCCTTCCTGTCCTCTCAAACCAGCCGGTCAAAGCAGATGGCCGCTTGTCCTGAGCCTGGTTCTGCTGGAGGTTTCTTCCTTTTAAAAGGGAGTTTTTCCTTTCCACTGTTGCCACTGTGCTTGCTCAGGATGGGAGACTGCAATGAAGCCAAGATTCAACTTGTCTGCTGGATTCCTTAGATAGAGAACTTTACTAATTGGCTTTTTTATGTATGTGAATGTTTCTGTAAAGTGCCCTGAGACAACTTTGTTGTGATTTGGCGCTATATAAATAAACTGAATTGAATAAACAGCATTTTCTGCTACTTCTCTCTGTTCCTCGACCATAAGTCCCTTAGAATAACCCTCTTTGCCATCAATGAGCACTCGGCTCAGTAGCGAAGACAGCTCCCAGTAATTAAACACAAACAGCCGAAAGCTGTCGCCCGGGTCACACCGAGCCTCAAAGCTGCACAACACGAACAAAGTATGTGATTTGGTCATGTGAAGGCCGCCATGAGACACGAAGAACAAAGCTCAGCGCTGACTGATGGGATCAGACAGAGATGGAGGTACTTCACGGGACTCTTCGCCACTGCACTCCACTCAAGAGACGAGAACGGGGACATTTCTTGTCAAAATGCATAGAAAATCAAACTTACAACAAAGAAGCCCGTAATATGGCTTTTAACGGAATTTTAGTAATCAAAGTGTTCTAATTAAAGTCAACAAAGAAAGAAATGAGTAATTACAGCTTTTTTTTTAAACTTATTTGATTA